GGAGTTTCGCTGTTGTTGCCCAGACTGGAGTTCAATGGCACGATCTCGGCTCACCGCAACCTCCGCCTCCTGGGTTCAAGCAATTCTCCTGCCTCAGCCTCCCTAGTAGCTGGGATTATAGGCACGCACCATCATGCCCAGCTAATTTTTTGTATTTTTAGTAGAGACGGGGTTTCACCATGTTGACCAGGATGGTCTCGATCTCTTGACCTCGTGATCCACTCGCCTCGGCCTCCCAAAGTGCTGGGATTATAGGCGTGAGCCACCGCGCCCGGCCCAAAACCAATTTTTTAAGTGCATTAAAAATACCAACTTTCTCATCAAAACCTACAAAGTAGCATGTGAAATGACACGCCGTAAAAACAATAGTGAGAAAACTGTAGCCGTAAAACAGAAAAAAAAGAAAGGCTGTGACATTATACTTAGTTGGAAAACACATTAATAAGACAAAACTGAACATAACTGGGAAATAAAAGCAGCAGAGTTTTGCTTTATATTCAGTAAGATTCAGGTTTGCTGCCTAAAAATGGCCCTCTCCACATAATCAGTATTTTTTATTAATCATTGATATTTTACATCTCTGACTTACAAACTAACTCTAAGAGGAATATTTATGGATTATAAAACATCTGTTACTCAGCAAGCACTGTCATTTTTTTTTTGCTACATTTATATATTAAAACATCCTCATGACTTATGAAGACTTCTTAGCAGTTACCTGAACAAATTGGCTCAATTAACAAATAAATTTACTTCTGTCAATTATAAAAAGTGGAAGGGGCCGGGCGCTGTGGCTCAAGCCTGTAATCCCAGCACTTTGGGAGGCCTAGGGGGGTGGATCACGAGGTCGAGAGATCGAGACCATCCTGGCCAACGTGGTGAAACCCCATCTCTACTAAAAATACGAAACATTAGCTGGGCTTGGTGACGTGCGCCTGTAGTCCCAGCTACTTGGGAGGCTGAGGCAGAATTGCTTGAATGCGGGAGACAGAGTTTGCAGTGAGCTGAGATTGTGCCACTGCACTCCAGCCTGGCACCTGGAGACAGAGTAAGACTGTCTCAAAAAAAATAAAAAACAGTAATATAAAAAGTGAAAGGAACAACTAAAGAAAAGTAGGCTTACATATGGGGTTCTTCAATTAAAAGAACAAAATGGAATGTTCTAATTCAATAAAATACACTAATCGTGGAATTACATTTAAAAATTATTTTGTGTGCCCTAAATTTTATAATTTTTTTTTTTTTTTTTTTTTTTGAGACGGAGTTTCGCTCTTTTTACCCAGGCTGGAGTGCAATGGCGCGATCTCGGCTCACCGCAACCTCCACCTCCCGGGTTCAAGCAATTCTCCTGCCTCAGCCTCCCGAGTAGCTGGGACTACAGGCATGCGCCACCATGCCCAGCTAATTTTTGTATTTTTAGTAGAGACGGGGTTTCACCATGTTGACCAGGATGGTCTCGATCTCTTGACCTCATGATCCACCCGCCTCGGCCTCCCAAAGTGCTGGGATTACAAGCGTGAGCCACCGCGCCCGGCCTAAATTTTATAATTTATATAATCTTTGACCACTTCACATAATGAAAATCTCATAAACTATAAAAGAAAAAAATTATAAGAAACAAAAATTGTAGGTTTAGCGTTATCATGTACGTAAAAACAAAATTCACATGAAGAGATTTTGAACCATAAGCCATAATATTTTACAGTAATTAATCCAATAGAAAGGAAAGAGTATAGGCCAGGCTCAATGGCTCACGCCTGTAATCCCAGTACTTTCGGAGGCCAAGTCAGGTGGATCACTTGAGGTTAGGAGTTCGAAATCAGCCTGTCCAACATGGCGAAACCCCATCTTTACTTAAGAGACAAAATTAGCCAGGCATGGTGTTACATGCCTGTAATCCCAGCTACTGGGGAGGCTGAGGCAGGAGAATCGCTTGAACCTGGGAGGCAGAGGTTGTAGTGAGCCAAGATCATGCCACTGCAGTCCAGCCTAGGCAACAAGAGCAAAACTCCATATATATAAAAAAAGGAAAGAGTACAGATTTGCTTTCAGCATTTTTTAGGTTTATAGTTTTCTAGTAAATTACTCACCTTACTAAAATGATTTTTGTTCCAACACTGCTCTTTTCTTCTTAAAATAGGTACAAGTTTATACTCATACAAACATACTTACTCCAAAATTTTCTTATACCTAAGGTTTAACTTAAAAGTAATGCACATGTATATTTATTGTATATTTAACTTTATGTAAATCAAAACTAAGAATCTGTATGTGTTTGCAGGCAGAGAGGCCACATGTTCAAAACTATATAACAATTTTTTAAATGTTTACTCAGGTCTCAGAATGTGTGTACTTTATACTTCTATATAATTTTTATTATAACCATAAAAATAGACCTGTAGTCAATAACAACTGTACATTTAAAACAAACTATAACAGTAGAATTGGTTTGTAATACAAAGGATTAATGCTGGAGATGATGGACACTTAATTTTCCCTGATGTAATTACTACTTATTATATGCCTGTATTAAAATATGCTATATGTGGCATAAATATATACATATACAATGTATCCACAAAAATTATAAAGTATAAATTTAAGAAAAAATAAATATTTAACCTATAGGAACAATATTCTTTAACCTCCTTGCAGTTTCAAGTCACTGGCAAAAGGAATTACTAGAAATATGTGTTCATCAGGTTACCAAATAGTATATTGTTACCATCTTTTGCCTACACCCTTGAGTAAGGTGAAATAGGTAGTGGAATATTAACACTTTATTAAATGCACAATTCTCTAAACATTGTTAAATAAAATTTAAAAAAATTAAGTTCACACATAATTTAAAATTTTAAGAATATACATTTTATTACATAACAGTACAATCAGTAAAATGATATACTACTAATTTCAACTAAAATTTAAAATGCTTTTTTTGGCCAGGCACAGTGGCTCACGCCTGTAATCCCAGCACTTTAGGAGGCTGAGGCTGGTGGCTCACGAGGTCAGGAGTTTGAGACCAGCCTGACCAACGTGGTGAAACCCCGGCTTTACTAAAAATACAAAAATTAGCTGGGCGTAGTGGTGCACTCCTGTAATCCCAACTACTCAGGAGGCTGAGGCTGGCGAATCCTTTGAACCCTGGGAGGTGGATGGAGGTTGCAGTGAGCCGAGATTGCACCACTGCACTCCAGTCTGGATGACAGGGAGAGATTCCATCTCAAAAAAACAAACAAAAGTAAAATGCTTTTTCCTCACTATAATGCAGAATATTATTCTGAACACCTACCTCATGCACCGCCTATATTAAAAAGAGCCTCTCAACTTAGATATCTATTTGTCATTTGTCTTACATTTTAATGTCCTTACCCTTCCATATAAAAGATCATAACGAATGCCCTCCTGATTTGAAAGTCTCATACAATAGGCATAAAGAGCATGAAGTAATTTTACAGTTGAAATGATGACATTATTCATGTTACAAATCTGTTTTTTAAAGAGTATATATAAATTTTTTTTAGATGAAGTTTTGCTCTTGTTGCCCAGTCTGGAGTGCAATGCCATGATCTCGGCTTACCACAGTCTCCACCTCCTGGATTGAAGCGATTCTCCTGCCTCAGCCTCCCGAGTAGCTGGATTACAGGTGTGTGCCACCACGCCCAGCTAATTTTGTATTTTTAGTAGAGATGGGCTTTCTCCATTTTGATCAGGCTGGTCTTGAACTCCTGACCTCAGGTGATCCGCCTGCCTCAGCCTCCCAAAGTGCTGGGATTACAGGCGTGAGCCACCATGCCCAGCTAAAAGTATACTTTGAATGTAATTATAACTTTTCAAAAAACTTTCTGCATCTTTTACAGTTATATACAAATGATTTATCTACCAACTTTAGTTCTGGGTTATTTTTTATACTCAGCACTCTGATTTACTGTAATGTCTCACTCAGTGCCTTAGTTTTACTGTAAGATATTTACATAAACTTTGTATTAAAATAGTTTTATATTACTGCATCTGCAAATATATATATGTGTGTGTATATATATATATATATTATTATTTTTTTAAGACAGAGTTTCACTCTTGTCACCCAGGTAGGAATGCAATGGCACAATCTTGGCTCATTGCTCCCAGGTACAAGCGATTCTCCTGCCTCAGCCTCCTGAGTAGCTGGGAATATGTTACAGGCACCAGCCACCATGCCTGGGTAATTTTTGTATTTTTTGTAGGGATGAGGTTTCACCATGTTGACCAGGCTAGTCTCGAACTCTTGACCTGAGGTGATCCACCTGCCTTAGCCTCCCAAAGTGTTGGGATAACAGGTGTGAGCCACCATGTCTGGCCTGCAAAAACATATTTTAGTATAAACTTTCTTATATTTTCTAAGCTATAGGTTTTGAAAAGTATGTTTTTCCAAATTTATTACATTTGCAGAGTTTTTCTCCAACATAGAATGCCCGATGTTGAACAAAGTTTGAGCAACTGCTTCAGGGTTTTTCTCTAGCACAAAATGTGGGTGATAAGATCTGTGATACAAGTAAATGTGCTACAACCTTCTTTATGTTTGTAATATTTGTCTTCAAAATGAATATGCTTAACTTTAAAGGCTTATATTTTCTTTTTTTTTGAGACGGAGTTTCGCTCTTGTTACCCAGGCTGGAGTACAATGGCGCGATCTCGGCTCACCGCAACCTCCGCCTCCTGGGTTCAGGCAATTCTCCTGCCTCAGCCTCCTGAGTAGCTGGGATTACAGGCATGCACCACCATGCCCAGCTAATTTTTTGTATTTTTAGTAGAGACGGGGTTTCACCGTGTTGACCAGGATGGTCTCGATCTCTTGACCTCGTGATCCACCCACCTCGGCCTCCCAAAGTGCTGGGATTACAGGCGTGAGCCACTGCGCCCGGCCTGGCTTATATTTTCTTAATTTTTTTGACAGTAATTGCATTTATAATGCTTTTATTAAGTGCCAACATTCTGATAGAGTAAGATGTGAGCAGATATTAATGGCTATTCCATATTCTTTGTATTTGTACAATTTTTCTCAAGTATAAATGCTTTCCTGTGCAATAAGATTTGGGCATTAACAGTATTGCCAAATACATCACACTTAATTTTCTCCAGTATGAATTATCTTACGTACAACCAAGTGTGAAAATTATTTAAAGTCTTTGACACATTCTTTACATTGCTAGTATTTTTCACCAGTATGATTTTCTTTATATTTAGAAAAGTTTAAGGTGTTGTCAAAATCATTGTCACATCTTTCAGTTTTGTAGATTTTCTCTCCAATATGAATTTTTTTATGTTTAGCAAGGTTCGCAGATTGGTTAAAAGCTTTGTCACATCTCTCACATTTATAGGGTTTCTCCCCAGTATGAATTATCTTATGTTCGGTAAGTTTTGAGGATCGATTAAAAGCTTTGCCACATTCTTCACATTTGTAGGGTTTCTCTCCAGTATGAATTCTCTTATGTGTAGTAAGGGAGGAGGAGTGTTTAAAAGCTTTGCCACATTCTTCGCATTTATAGGGTATCTCCCCAGTATGAATTTTCTTATGTTCAGTAAGTTTTGAGGATTGGATAAAAGCTTTGCCACATTCCTCACATTTGTAGGGTTTCTTTCCAGTATGAAGTTTCTTATGTTCAGTAAGTTTTGAGGATCGGTTAAAAGCTTTGCCACATTCTTCACATTTGTAGGGTTTCTCACCAGTATGAATTCTTTTATGTGTTGTAAGGGCTGAAGAGTGTTTAAAAGCTTTGCCACATTCTTTACATTTGTAGGGTTTCTCTTCAGTATGAATTTTCTTATGTTCAGTAAGATTTGAGGATCGGTTAAAAGCTTTGCCACATTCCTCACATTTGTACGGCTGCTCTCCAGTATGAATGTTTTTATGTTCAGTAAGTTTTGAGGATCGGTTAAAAGCTTTGCCACATTCTTCACATTTGTAGGGTTTCTCTCCTGTATGAATTCTCTTATGTGTAGTAAGAGTCGAGGATTGGGTAAAAGCTTTGCCACACTCTTCACATATGTAGGGTTGCTCTCCAGTATGAATTTTCTTATGTGTAGTAAGATTTGAGAACTGATTAAAGGCTTTGCCACATTCTTCACATTTGTAGGGTTTCTCTCCTGTATGAATTATCTTATGTGTAGTAAGGTGTGAGGACTGGTTAAAGGCTTTGCCACATTCTTCACATTTGTATGATTTTTCTCGAGTATAATTTTTTCTATATTCAGTAAGGTTTGAGAATTGTTTAAAAGCTTTGTCACATTCTTGACATTTGAAGAGTTTCTCACAAGTATAAATTCTCTTATGTGTAGTAAGCTTCGAAGATTGGTTAAAAGCTTTTTCACATTCTTCACAATTGTAGAAATTCACTCTGGTATAAATTCTTTTATGTTGAGTTAGGTGTGAAAGCATGCAAAATGATTTGCCACATTCTTTACATTTGAAATGTTTATTTTCCATATGTTTGATCTTATGTCTACCTGAATGTGAAAATTTATGAAAGACTTTCACATATTTATCACATGGAAACATCTTGCTCTGGGTAGTTGGTAAACACTGATTAAGTCCATTATAACCTCCTTTGTGACCCTTACACTCAACCGCACTTTTGCAGCTGTTTAATTGAAAATTCTCATTTCCACATTTTTCATAACTTCTCAGTGTCATGTTTTGAGAAGAATCTTTTACATTCTCCTCTGGCCAAAACTCTTGGGCAAAATGAGAACACATTACTGAAAGAAATAAAAATAACACATTAGTTTACGGACTCAGATAAACAGACTTTCCAAATACAACCTATAAAATTACACAAACTACACAAGCAAGATGGCACCGCAGGCTGTAATTAAGTGTGTGCATTGCCCCAGGTGGGTACAATGCAAAGCACCACACAGAAAAAAAGAAATTCTGTCACATTTATCCAACACAGCTTTTTCTACTCCCCAACATAACATATTGTTTTTAGAAGTAAATTGCCAACTTTACTTCTTGCAATTATTTACTTGTGCAATGGCGCGATCTTGGCTCACCGCAACCTCCGCCTCCTGGGTTCAAGCAATTCTCCTGCCTCAGCCTCCCCAGTAGCTGGGACTACAGGTGCGCACCACCATGCCCAGCTAATTTTTGTATTTTTAGTAGAGATGGGGTTTCACCATGTTGACCAGGATTGACCTCGTGATCCGCCCACCCCGGCCTCCCAAAGTTCTGGGATTATAGGCGTGAGCCACCACGCCCGGCCCCTGTTTTTGTTTTTTTAAATGAACCAGCTCTTACTTGAATTACCAGTGTACTTATTGATTAACAAGAGGATGGTGTCAAGCCATTCATTCATGAGGACTTTGCCCTCAAGACCTAAGCAAGTCCCAGCAGATCCTACATTCACCTCCTACAAGGTCCCCAACCAACAATGATGATTACATTGCAGCATGAGGTAGGTTTAGAGAACATAGACATCCAAGCCCTATCACACACCAAATAGGCTTAACAGACCTGTACAAATGTTTTTAATCAAAAGTAAGAGAATACACAATATTTTTATTCATACCTGGTGTATTCTGTTAGTACACATATCAAGTCTTATTAGATTTCAGAATACTGGCTGGGTGCAATGGCTGGTTCCTACTGCCTCAACACTTTGGAAGACCCAGGGGGATCACATGGGACCAGAAACTTGACACCAGCCTAGGCAACATAGCGAGACCCTGTCTCTACAAATAACTGAAAAATCAGCCAGGCATGGCAGTGCACGTCTGTAGTGCCAGTTACTTGGGAGACTGAGGTAAAAGGATCACTTGAGCCCGGGAGGTTATGACTGCGGTGAGCCAAAGAATGCCACCTGAGGTCAGGAGTTCAAGACCAGCCTGACCAACATGGTGAAACCCCATCTTTATTAAAAAAAAAAAAAAAAGAAAGAAAGAAATACAAACTTAAATAGATTTTAGATGGTAAAATTTATGTGGTTTTACAACATTTTGTTTTAAAGATAAATTTTAAAAATACAGAATTACAAATCTTTACATAAATTAACTTCAAATCACAGAAGTGTATCTCTCACACAAAAGAAATATATATTTATTATTAAACACAAGGTGAAAATAAGACTATCTCCATGACTAATCACTTAAACAAGATAAAACCATCATTGAAAATCAGCAAAGAGCCTGGGCGTGGTGGCTCACGCTTGTAATCCAAGCACTTTGGAGGCCAAGGCGGGCGGATCACCTGAGGTCGGGAGTTCAAGACCAGCCTGACCAACATGGTGAAACCCTGTCTTTGAAAAAAATAAAATAAAATAAAAAGAAAATCAGCTAAGAAAGAATACATTCAAGATGAGCCATAATCAAAATTGGGGTCATATTTATAGACAAACACATATATATAATCTGACTGGGATAAACATATGGCTTGCTTATCTCTTAATTAAACCCCACATTGACTTAAAGTATACAACATAATTTTGCAAATTGTCTAAAATGGTAAAACAAAAACGACAATAAACAGATTTTTTTAAAAATTGTACTTTAGGTTCTGGGGTATACGTGTGGATGATGCAAGGTTGTTGCATAGGCACATACATGCCAATGTGGTTTTCTGCTTCCATCCCCCCATCACCCATACTATATCTGGCATTTCTCCCCATGTTATCCCTCCCGAACCTCCCCACCCCCTGCTGTCCCTCCCCTAGCCCCCGCCAACAGACCCCAGTGTGTAGTGTTCCCCTCCCTGTGTCCATGTGTTCTCATTGTTCAACACCTGCCTATGAGTGAGAACATGCAGTGTTTGATTTTCTGTTCTTGTGTTAGTTTGCTGAGAATGATGGTTTCCAGATTCATCCAAGTCCCTAACAAAGGACACAAACTCATCATTTTTTATGGCTGCATAGTGTTCCATGGTGTATATGTGCCACAGTTTCCCTGTCCAGTCTATCATCGATGGGCATTTGGGTTGGTTCCAGGTCTTTGCTATTGTAAACAGTGCCGCTATGAACATACGTGTGCATGTGTCTTTATAACAGAATGATTTACAATCCTTTGGGTATATAGCCAGTAATGCGATTGCTGGGTCAAATGGAATATCTATTTGTAGGTCCTTGAGGAAGCGCCACACTGTCTCCCACAATGGTTGAACTAGTTTACTCTCCCACCAACAGTGTAAAAGTGTTCCTATTTCTCCACATCCTCTCCAGCATCAATAAACAGATTTTAAACTGAAAAAGCACACTAATATAGAATGACAAAACTATTTGATAAGAGAAAATGTTTACTCATAAAATCTTGCAGGCAACATTGATGTGGCATCTAATAATAATGTGTCTAGGTAACTAATATTTGACTGTAACTGTACTCATGGAAGGCAGGTATTCTGAATCCCTGGTATATGCTATATGGTAGTATAATTCCAGAGAAAATGCAGTATTATCATAAGTGAAAGATTCTGAGAAACTCTTAATAAATAATCATCTAAAAAACTAGCAGGCTGGGCGTGGTGGCTTACACCTCTAATCCCAGCACTTTGGGAGACTGAGGCAGATGGATCACCTGAGGTCAAGAGTTCAAGACCAGCCTGGCCAATGTGGTCAAACCCCATCTCTACCAAAAATACGAAAATTAGCCAGATGTGGTGGTGAGCACCTGTAATTCCAGCTACTTGGGAGGCTGAGGCAGGAGAATCACTTAACCCAGGAGGCAGAGGTGGCAGTAAGCCGAGATCATGCCACTGCACTCCAGCCTAGGCAACAGGAGTAAAACTTCGTCTCAAAAACAAAACAGATAATTTTGGGCTGAGCGTGGTGGCTCACACCTGTAATTCCAGAACTTTGGGAGGTTGAGGCGGGTGGATCACCTGAGGTCAGGAGTTCAAGATCAGCCTGGACAACACGGTAAAACCTGGTCTCTACTAAAAACACAAAAATTAGCCGGGCGTGGTGGTGAGGGCCCATAGTCTCAGCTAGTCAAGAGGCTGAGGCAGGAGAATCACTTGAACCCAGGAGGTGGAAGT